AAAATACCCCAACAAAACCTTACAAACGCAAAGGAAGAAAACTCAAAAGCATCCAGAGCTCAGTAATTGAAATTTGTGGAATTTGCAAAATGTTATTTAAGAACAAAATACAGCCCTCTCGGATTGTTAATAGGCGCATTCAAGCCCTTTACTATAGAGAAGGCTTCCGCAATGTAGAGCTCTAATCATTATGCAAACGTGTCTCACGGTCACGTGCTCTAAATTGACCAATCAGTATTTTTCGATCGATACCCAAATCTTTCAAAGACCGTTGCAGGCTCTCGTTTTCCTCGCTCACCACAATCCCCAAACTTTTGACCGCGTGCCACAGGAACTTCAAATTTGAGAATAAACACCGCTAAAAGACCAGCCAAGAGCCTGTTCGCAGGCTACCCCACCCCCACCCCCAACCCACAACCCACAACCTCACTCCGAAATCCAACTGGCTGCAGGATAGCTTTGAAGACGCTCCGATGCAGACTTAATTTCGAAAGAAAAAGGTGAATGCCAATTTCTGCATTTTGATGACCAGCTTGCAGATCTCTGTAATTGACCAGAAAGGCACCTCATTCATCCTAACTGGCCTGGTATAACGGAGGCACTGTCCTAGTGCATGGACGGGCCCCATGGCCAAGTATGAATTCCAGGCCGTCTCAGTCCCAACTTTGGCAGGCAGCCCAGCAAAGCAATGCACAAACTGCAGTGATCATCACGCAGGGTTCACCCGTTAGCAGCCACTGACAGCCCACTGAATCCTCGCGCGTTGGAATGATGACTCATATGTCACCACTGTTTTGTGGGCTGTGCCGATATAATATGGGGCAGCTGTTACCAGTACACAGCCTGTACGCGCTTGTAACCACAAAGCAGCGAACTAGAGACCATTGAAACTCAGACCAAGCTGTATAAACAAATGAAAAACTAATAGAAGGTACAGAACTTACCGGAAAGGGCTCTTTCCAACTCGCGCCAACAATGGAGGGCCTTATGATTGCCACATTCAGATTCCCACTTTCCTGCTGGACTAGGAATTCTGCCAGGGCCTTTGTGTACGTGTATGTGTTGGGTCGGTCCCCAATGAGTTTTGGAGTGATTAAATTGACCAGTTTCTCATCCATCCACCTGTAAAAGCATTTAAAAACAGGTTACAGCCATAGAAAAGTGTCAAGGAAATAATTTTTTGCTCCCTTACGAGAATCCTTTTTTTTTTTTTTTGAATCAAACTCATGAGAGATGGGAAGGCACTTCTCTAATTGGTCCAGCCCAACCGCATGCACTACAACCGCACCAAGATCAAGTACAGCAATATCTCCCCAAGTTTTGAGCAAAGTAATTTGGGGAGATAGAACCTAATCTCACACCAGAAAGTATTTGCATAAAATCACTGAAGAGTAGTGTCCATTTCCGCCAACATAAAAACATAAATGGTCAGGCGAGATGAGCAATCGCAAGCATGCCTCCAGACTCCTGCCACTTCGCAAGTCCAGTTTCCACTGGACCTCCACAACCACAACATCACTGCATCAGAACACCAAAACCAAGCAGGCTTTGGGATTTTTCGGGTATATCGGCCAAACCCTCAAGCAAAAGCTTCCCAAAAAGAGCCACGTTACAGTACAGCCCCCGACCGCCTAATGAAATCATCACAAACTGAGCCCAATTTTATCTTATATGCTCAGACTGCCTGCATTTACGTATTACTGATGAAAAATGCATTGAACAATTTTGCATGTGGTCAGCAATACATTTAACTGCTGAATTTATCATGTGACGGAAAGAATCAAAGTGCAAAATTTCAAGGTGATATTGCTCACACATCAGGCAATATAATGGAACCCTGGTGTTCCAGGAGATGAATGCATTAATTTATTCATTATTAATAATAGAACACCTTAATCAATATCTCTGTCTTGATAAGATCTGAAGGGATAAAAGATTTCAAAAGGATTCAGAAAATAGTTCTTGAGTTATCGAGTTAACACGAAGAATCTGCAGCAGATGCAGTGGACGCGGGAGCGGTGGCAATGATGATTCCACAATATCGACGAACCTATTTCGCGAATATAATCAGCCTGAAATAGCTGTGAAGAGTGAATTCAGTTGTCATTTCAGTAAAACAGTGTTAGTTTCTGTCAAACCGTTTTGGTTTCTGCAAAAAACACTCCCATGACTTGATCACACTCCTGGATTGACCTGAACAACCTCAAAACTCCCCTCCAAATGACCCAAACAACAATGAGCAATATTCAAAGGGGTACATCATGGCACAGAGTTCAAGCAAGTTTATTTGCAGCAGAGCAGCATCTGACCACAACAGAATACCTACAACACTCTGTGGAACATTCAGGGGTTTAACATGACATATAAATGGTAAAAATGCTTTTAATGGGAAAGGCTAAGCATTGAAAATTGTTTAATGTTCTAGTTCAACATTGCCAAACTGCAGGTGCAGCTCAATATGCAGCGAGGTCACAGTTAAAGTGATGGCATCCCACCCTGACATTGTACAAGGAAAAAACACTCAAGTACTGCACAAACGGTCTGACCTTAACTCCCAAATGCCCGTCAAAAGCCTCCGATATTGATTCACAAGAAAAACAAGGGAGGGCTTAGGATTTTAAATAAATGGTACTCCCTGACAAGTAAATGGCCTTGTGGGAAGAAACATCATTTAAACGAACGGAAGGATCTACCAGATTGCACTTAATCATAATCAATCAGTCTACAAGGAAGCCGACTGGGAAATCTACACATTCATGCAAAACACAGGCAATCTGCCAGAAAAGGGTACGCTGTAACGTTACTCCAGTTCCAAAGATGCATTTCATCCTCAACCTCGGAGATCATGTTTGCAGATTAAAAATCGGTGCATAACCAGGAAAAAATAAATTTTTATTGAGCCAAAACAGGGCCTGACACACACTTCTGAGATTCGTTGGCATATCAAATGGTAGAAAACAATAATCTTGTTACTTTAGAATTACCATCAGTGAGGAAATTAAATGCATCAGATTGCAGCGACATTCTTTGCAACTTTTTATCTGTGAACAGGACAGACTTAGTTGGGAACAGGTAGAACACTGACCAACAGCACAGCCACTTACTGACATACATACCACGGAAGTTATGTGCAAAAGCATTAAAAAAAAAAAAAAAAAAAAAAAAAATACAGAATGGTGAATGTGAGAATGAGCATGTCAAGAAGTGCATTTCCAACAGAGTCCAATATCCAGTGTCTCTCCACAAAACAAGGCATTACAAACTCACACCAAGACTCTCTACTGAAGGCAAAGGAAAGGTGGTATTAAATGTGGTGGAACAGGATCATGCAGAGTAAGGTGTTCCCACAGAAAAAAAACCCTTGCCAGCATAACAATGAGCTACATTTTCTCCTTTGTCAGGAAGCATGCATGCGTCAGTAACTAGCATCAGTTATGTTCATTAGCATCGACCATCGACCGATTATACGGCGGCAAACACAGCGGCACAGCCAATCCACTAATTCAAAGTCTCCTCTTGCTGGATTCCTCAACTGCAGTCATGCGTTCAGGACTACACAGTGTTACATAATGTCTAGCATGTTGCCTGCGAGGGTTCTAGCTCATTTGGGATGGGTACTCACTCCAGGGAGTCGATGAGCTTCTTGTAGTCCACAGGCGGTGGGTATACCACTTCCTCAATCACTGTGCGGTCACAGTTAGCATAGGCTGTGGAGACATGGATGAACACCTCTAGCTGTTTCATCCGGTGGGCCAATGCAACCATCTTCTGTGTCGCCAGGACGTTCAGCTGCATCGCATCTCTAGTCATGAATACCACAAAGCAAAACGTGTTCGACAATCAGGACTTTACAGAGCCAAAAAAAAATTCAAAATGGAGATTTTTTTTTTTTTTTTTTTTTGCTTTACAAACAATCTCCCCCCCCCCCACCCCAATGCAGCCGCCCCTCAGTGATGTTCACAGACTTTTAGGAAGAAACTAAAAAAGTTAATAACCTCAAAATAGCAAAAGGCACACCTGCATGACCTGATGCAAATATGTGCAAATTTTCATGGAAATATGTTGAACGGTTTCTGAGTTATGGTCCGGAAATTGTGGGAACGCTGACGCAGGCGTGCACGCACACAGGAAACCGGACAAAAACAATATGACCCCCTCATCCCTTTGGGGCTGAGACATAATAAATATACAAGCCCTGACATTAGGACTCCAAGACTGAATTCAATCAAAATGTGTACTTAATAACAACTCAAGTTCTGAAGTCCTTCACTTGGCAAATAGACTTGTGTTTGCTCTAAACACACAGTTCACAAGTTTAGTTTGCGAGGGGAAGAACACAAAAACTATCATTTTAACATTCAGAATAATGTGCATCAAATTTACGCCAGAGACATTAAATCAATAAAGTGATAATGTATTCAAAATAAAACCAAATCAAAGGAAAGGATTGCATGGTACAATAGACTATGGCGTGTAAATATAAAAGGTTAGTCTTCTTTGTGGCTTATTCAAAACAGGTCTTTCCAGTTTACTTAGGGTGTGGAAGTGCACAGATGCAGATAAAAGAAATTCTGGGCTTTCATACTCCATTCCTGTGGTAAACCTGATACAGGCTAATTTTTTACTTGTGGGTGAGCAATTCACTTCAGACATTCAGCTTCTCTCTACTAGGACAGTGCAGCCTACAAGTCAAGGATTTCAGGTTTAAATATGCATTACGTGCTTTAACTGAGCTGGTCTCAAGAAGCTCCCCCCAAATCCAGCAGGGTTTCTAAACCAAGTACTGCTGATGCTTCTGAAATGCTCTTTTAAAAGAGAATAATCCACACCAGCGTGTGGTGAGACACTCTTAGGATTCTGTGAATGAGGAAGAACTTCATTCAATTGGGCGTTTAAGGAGAAATAATTCTTCAAGATGGAATTCCAACCGCTAAATCTAAATAGCAGGCTAATGAGCATTTATTAACAATGCGCGTGGTCTGTTTTAGCATCTAGTTGAGGGCACGGTGGTGCAGTAGGTAGCACTGCTGTCTCGCAGCAAGAAGCTCGTGGGTTCGAATCCAGGCCTTTCTGTGTGGAGTTTGCACGTTTTCCTTCGGGTACTCCGATTTCCCCCACCCACAAAAACATGCATCATAGGAATGCTTCCACCAGTACCCCTGAACAAGGTATTGGCTTAAGAACTGGAGTTGGCCCCTGGGCGCTGCTCTGTGGCTGCCCACTGCTCCTAACTATAGGATGGGTCAAATGCAGAGGACAAATTACCCCACGGGGTTCAATAAAGTGTATGTAAAATTTAAAAAAAAAAAAAAAAAAAAAAAATCTAGTTTCCACTACTCCATCCTCATTTTTTGCGGCGGGGGGGGGGGGGGGGGTGTCCAACTTGATTGAATAGTTATTGTCTGATAATTTACGAAATCGATAGCTGATCACTTTATAGAGTGAGGACCGCTCAGATCAGCCTGCTGCACAGACCAGCCTGCTGCAGACAGGAGGCCAGTCAGACTCATCACACCGCAAAACGGCGTGGGCCTACCGTCAAGGCCTGCTGCAATATACCATTACTGAATAATCCAGATGTGCTTGTTTAGTCACGAAAACAAAATTTATGCCAATTAACAGCATACAAGGGCAATATCATGCGGAGGAAAAAATTTAGGAGGGCGACGGCTAAAAATGCCTCCATAATACTGAAAGTCTCCCTGAAATCAGTCAGGAATTAAAGTAGTCAAAAACAGGTGACGCAAGTTTAAGGCCTATATAGTAAGCAACAAACAGCTAACCATGCAGAGCACTTGGATACAGTCCGTGTAATGGCAACAGAGTCACTCACTTCAGCGGCTCATTGAATCTGACGGTGGCGGCACAGTGGAACACAATATTAACGCAGTCAGTCAGGGTCTGTTGGTCCTCTTTGCTCAGATCAAGCTCTGGCTGGGTCAGATCGCTGCTTATGGGCACTACTTTCTCAGCGAAGTCCGGCTGCTCCTCTCTTAGCCTGTCAAATAGCTGAGGAGATGTAAAGGACCCAAAGGCTTTAGACATTGGAACGGACAAAATACACTTCAAGAATATGTAAACAGAAAAAAAAGTCATGTTCATCAAATTACTTTCAAATAAAATTTAAAAAAGCATCCCATCATTTATTTCAATTAAAACATTATTGAACACCACGGATAGCCATCTAACAGCATCTATGGACATACACACCGATTGGCCATAACATTAAAACATTAGCCTAATATTGTGTAGGACCAACTGACGGCCCTAAAAAAGCTCCATCAAAATAGCATCCAGTTGAATTCCTGGACCCAGGGTTTCCCAGCAGAACACTTCCCCGGAGCATCACACCCCCTCCACCGGCTCGTCCTCTTCCCACAGTGCATCCTGGTGCCATCTCTCCCCTGGGAAAATGGGGCCCGAAGACCCGGTCGAAGCGCTTGATGAAAAATAAACGAGACTCACTAGACCAGGGTGATATACCTCGGTAAGAACTGAGCCACCTTCGTGGTACAGAAAACCCAGGGTTAAACCTGAAGTTACCGCGGTAAGCCCAAATCTGCTTTATGGTACAGGCCCCAGGTGACCTTCTTCAGTTGCTCCAAGGTCCAGTTCTGACGCTCACATGCCCATCGTAGGTGCTTTTGACGGTGGACTGAAGTCGTAATGGGCACTCCGAACTGCTCTGCAGCTACACAGCACTATATAGAGCAGGGAGCCATGCACGGTATTGTGACACATTCCTCACGCAAGTATCATTACCATTCTCTCCGACTCCTCCTCGTGCCACAGTAGCCCTTCTGTCAGTTTGAACCAAAGGGGACAGCCTTCTTTGTCTTAGTGCATCAATGACCCGTAGGCAACAAACACCCTTTCGCTGGTTTGTGGTTTGTCTCTCCATGGACCGCTGTCAGTAGGTACTCACCAATGCTGACTGGGAGCACACTAGGAGCCTTGCCACTTGGGAGATGGTCAGACCCACTTGTTGTGGGAATTTTAAATTGTATTCCTCAAAGAAATCAGACTGAGACAAATGAGTAAATAGGATCCTTTACTACTTGCAAATAAGGTCTTCGTTACAGGCAAGAACAAAGACAAAGGAATCTCTCCTTTGCTTTGGATATATGTAAAAGCAGAATGTCATGATGTACGCCCTCAGAGTCAGCTGCGTGCATGCGCATCCCACGTAAGTCTGCCTCCAGTAATCCTAAAAAGTTTCTCCCCCCGCAGAAATTTACGTTTCCTTGGGTCTTATCTAGAACACTCCAGGCTCAAAAGGAACACACTGTTTCGGTAAACACCCTTCATGACGCCTCTACATAGGAACAAGCTAGATTATAAAAATTGCAATCACACATGGCGTAGGTCACCTAGGCCACTCGAGAACAAGCAAGGATAAACACTTAATGACTGAATAAACAAGTAAATCAATACTAAATCAAGAGCAAGCCAGGATAAACAATAACCAAATAAGCAATAATAAGGAATTTATGACTGAATTCCACCAACACCACTCATTTGGCCATAGTGACTTGGCCCTCATCAAAGTCGCTCAGGTCCCATGTCTCCCACATCCAACACATCAACTACGAGAACTGACTGTTCGCTTACCCCCTCAGGCAGGCATCCACGATCTTACCCAGAGAGGGCTAGTGTGGGTGCAAGTGTTCATTTCAACCAGGCAGTTACACACCTGATACAGCCAATCAAGGTCTATAGCAAAGGCTCCTGGGGCCAATTAGCAGAATCAGGTGTGTAACTGCTTGGATGGAATGAAAACCAGCACCATGCTGTCCCTTTCAGGATAAGATTCAGGATGGCTGGTCCAAGGCCTGCCTGTACATCTTGACATGCAGCGTTGCTACAAGTTAATCAACACTGCTTGCATCACATCTGAGTGGCTTTCATGTTTTGGCTCATTGGTGTACACAGAGGTTAACTAGCACACTAGCACCAACGCAATGGCACTTTAGGGGTGGCAGGGTTGGACATGGACTGCACTACAAATAAACCCAGAAAGGACTTGAAATGGACACCCACTGCAATGGCGTATCTGGTGTTACTTTCCATTACCTTGCAGTTGACCATCTCAGTGACGCGTGTGTGGGGGTCCTGGCCTGCTTTTTGCCGGACCAGCACGTAGACGGCCTTGACTGCGGGGCAGGAGCGCAGCAGCTTCTCAAGCAGAACCTTCCCCATGAATCCCGTGGCCCCTGTGATGAGCACACTCTTCCCCTCATAGTACTCCGGAATAGTGACCATCCTGCCTGCTGCTACCCTCTTCAGATCTGTCCCCCTGTAAGCATTTTCATAGCAGAGGGAGGTGCGGGTTACTCTTCTACACTCGGGGAGTCGCACTGTAGCGCCCAGTTACTCTGAGCAGGATTACAGAGTCAGCCGAATAACTACATTCTGTAATATAAATAACATCAACTGCGGAAATAAAAAAATAAATAAATAAAACTAGAGGCTCTAGAGAGCCTGAATCGCTCACCTGGATCTGTATGAAAATTAACAAATTCTTAAAATTACAGAAATATAATCTATGCAGCATACAATTAACAAGGAACAGGATCTTAATGAAATGCCAAAAAAAAAAAAAAAAAAAACATGATTACGATTCCGACCTCGTCCTATAATTTTGCAAAATCGATTTTTAAATGGAAAAGAAATAAATAAATCAGTTTGATTCAATTAGATTCAGATGGAAATTCCAGGGGATCCTGATTATTATCTGAAGAACCTAATGAGCAAATTGAATGTGATGGTTTATTCAGATGCTATAGTGAAATACAACAAAAATCATCATATAAGAATACATTTTAAGGCAAATAACTCCTACAAAGATCCATTATTCAATTTCAGTGTGGAGACTTTTATAAAGCTTTATTTGCTGATCATTTTAGCAATTTAAAGTTTTTCTCCACCTCTTATAGTTTTCATTATATAGGCCAAAAAAAAAAAAAAAAAAAACGCAAAATCGTCACATTTGACATTTCAAGGCCAATAACTCCTACATGGAGGCATTGTATGATTTCGATCCTTGTAGACTTTTGTAGAGTTTAATCGGCTGATCATTTTGAGGTGTGATTTTTTTTCTCTAGCTGCTTTAGTTTGTGAGATATAGCTGAAAATAGGTGGTTTTACCCCTATGTTCTATTTTTAGTAACAGTGGCCATGTTATTCAGACAGCGGGCATAATCAACAATTTTTAAAGTAGACATCCTGAGGATGCTTGAGGCCAATTTTAGTCCAGATCCGTACTGTAGTTTTAGAGGAGAAGATTTTTGAAAAATGTTAACGACAGACGACAACGAACGCCAAGTGATGGCAATAGCTAAAAACCAAAATCAAAAACAAAAGCAGTTCCCAATGCAGCAGCCATTCAGGGCCACTGCATTTTCAACCCTTGTGTGACTGAATCCAACCATCCAGCCAGCGGGGGATCAACACAGCTTGCTTCCAAGGCCTAAAGATAGCCCCGCAAAGAGGGCGTTACCCCTCAGCCCCCGGATTGTTTGGAATGAATATAAATTCACAAAGACGTTTTCAAGTTATCCTGCAGAATACAAAATTCAAGATGGCGGCCATACTGGACATCCAAGCGCAGTCAAAATCGATAGGCTTCTGTAGGTACACAAGACCGAGCAACACAGCAATGGCATTGATTGACAAAGGTGTTTTCAAATTATCTTGTGGAATACAAAATATTATGGGACAGACTGCCAGACAGACGCACGGACATCGCACGTGACAACAGTACCCCTCTGCCCCTTAGTTGGGGCTGAGGGGTAAAAAGCAGCGTTTCACTGACCCTTCACACACAGTACAAGCGTTTTATTCTGGGACTCATTTGATACAACTGACACTCCAAAATTTCCACTGAGCTGCCAAGCACTTGCTGTTGCAAGTCCAAGCATACAAAATCTGGAGAGCACCCCCATCAAGGCCTGATAGACAGTGGGATGATTTGCAGTGCTTGTGTACTGGGGGAGGTTTTTACAGAGCACTCACTCCAGTACTTCTGGTGCTCAGGAGATGGTGACGGAGGAAGTCTCTTAGAGAAGCAGCAC